GGGTCCGGCCGGGTTCGGGTCCGCGGGTGGATCCGGATCCGGGTCCGGATCCGGGTCCGGGCCCGGATCCGGGTCCGGGTTCCGGATCCGGGCCCGGGTCCGGGGGGGGTACGGACGACGAGAGACGAGAAAAGTGATATTATGCTACACCCCTAAACCCCCAAAATCCTGAAGGCCTCAGCATCCAAAGAAGGAACTCGAGGTCTAGAGCTTGCTGCTTGGATGCCCGGCCTGCACTGCGTTCACCGACATAGAAAGTGTGGCCACAAAAACCCCTTGAAAGGGGTTACGGGGGATATGGGGGATATGGGGAATTCAGCAGATTTAGGCACGCGCATCGGGGATTTAGGGTTTAGGTTTAAGGATTTAGGCTTAGGGTTCGGGCTCTAGGAGGTCTATAAGGATCACATAGGATTACTACTGTGTTCGATTCGCCGGACCTCCCCCATCGTATCCCCCAACCCCTAAACCCCTCCAGCTTCAAAAGTGTCCACAGACACAGGCATGGGGCCGGCCGGGCTCGCCAATAGAAACTTTCATAAGCCATCCATAAACCTTACGAACCTCATGTAAGCCACAAGATCCAGATCACAGACCACAGGACCACGGGCAGGGAAGAGAAAGGAAGTAATAGTAACAGAGGAATATGTTATGAACCCTGTACAGGCAGTATAAACCCTCTAGACTCTACAAATTACACCTGAGTAGTGTTTTTTGGTGGTTAAACCTAGTAAGATAATACTCCTTATATAATATACTATACCCCAATAAGAAGATATAATCTTACTCTATATTGGGTACCATAGTATCCCCAAATGAAATACTACTCACCCGATATTCTAACCAAAAACCACCAGCCATACCGCAGATTCGGGGACGGAAATTCTAGAGGGGAGGCCGGCTGCGCACGGATCATATATAAACTAGACCCATGATTAATAACCCCCTCCTTTTATCTCCTTTTAAGGGCCTAAATATTCAGATCCCGATTATAATCCCTATTACGGGGAGGGAGTTTATTAATCATGGGCCTGGGTTATGGACATTACTCCAAGAATGAACGGGAAAAGAACATGGAAAGTGAAGTGGAAACTGGGATCATGCAATAGCTTGAAAGGATATCAAGGTTTCCACAAAGAATAGGGGTCCCTGTATATTTGGGTCTGCAATGGGCCCTGCATTTTTGGGAAACCCGTGGATGTAGCTCTTGCCTGGTGGCGGCTTCCGGGGACTCCGCCTGAGAACTGGCACTGCAATTGTTGGACTGCCTAGTCCCTCTTTGGCGTTCAACGTTTGTGCATCCCGCAAAAATCTTAGTTGACGCCTTGACCCATGCTGAACGCAAATTGACGTCAGTGTCTGCTACCAGCATGACAAATTCCCCTAAACCCTAAACCCTAAACCCTGAACCATTTGATTGGTTGCACTTTCCCGCTAAAACTTGCTTTGCTTCCTACAATCCACTTGTTTACGCTAACCTACCATGCATTCAAGGTGTTATGCTCGTGACCGTGCGGTAGCTAAGCCCGTAAAAAACAAAACAGTTTCCCAATTTGTTCCTGACCCCGGTTATATAGTAGTTTCCAATTGTTCTGTCATCCCAATGTAACCCTAATATACTATCTAGTAATCTCCATTTTCTTTTCCGTTATCCCAATATTACCCCAATATAACTAGGCCATAGCAGTACTTGTAGCTGCCAAGTAGCTTCTGTGCTGACAGACATTGGGCTCTGCGCTGCTGGGCCCCAATGTTTTGACCCCCCTGCATCGTCCGACTCCAGAAGCGCCATCTGCACCTGGGCACTGCACGTTGGTATGAAGCCTTGCAATACAAAGCCCTAGGTTGTACTTAAGCTGGTTGACCATCACAACATATAAATATTCATATGGGTACATGATGAATAAAGCTGTTTCCTGATAATAAGTATTTACATATGTATATGGGTACATAATGGAAAAAACTGCTTCCTGATAATTATTCGTACTTTGGTTTCAAGTCCCGGTAGATGGGATCGTCTCAGACTTCTGGGCCCGCTTTTGGTTATGGTTATAGACTATAGTACGCCACCTTATATTGAGGGATACCAAAATGGTACCCTAATTTTGGGAACTACCCAGGTCTTGCCTTTGCTTAGCTAGGAATGAAGGAATGGATCCTTATAGTAGTCCCTATATGAGATCTGGATTAGCTTCTTAGCATATCCCTTAATAGGTCCCCCAATAGCCCATATAGTCCCCTGTAGGCCCCCCCCCCCGTCAAAATTTAGTCCGTAGTCCGTATAACCCATTACAATAGCTTCCATGTCCTTTTCCAGTATCCCTATAAAAACCCTATATAACCCATTATAATAGTTTCCATTTTCCATTACCCCTACATAACATGTATATATCCCCATATAAAACCTATGTAACCCATTATAACCCCTATATACCCCTATATACTAGGTACTAGTTTCCATGTTCTTTTCCATTCCTTCATTCCAAAGGCCAGTAGATTGCGGTCCAGAAGCCAAAGGATCTGGGTTGGCGCACCCGCTGGGCACTGCCAGGTCTTGAAGGCCGCACTTGCTGGTAGCTTCACAAGACCAGGGCCGAATCCAGAGATTTGGGGACTGAAAATCTGTAGCCTTCATCTTGAGAGGTCTTGAGAGTATTCTGTTCTAGTACCTCACCTCTTCCTGCTCAACTGAAGTCGAAACCAGGCAATTCTAAGTCCTCTGGATTCAGCAGCACGGGTGACTGCGCCCTGTACAACTGTTCCCAGATGGTCTGGTCAGATGGCTGCTACTTTGCCTGGTGCCAGAACGGCTGGTGACATCCACGGATGAGCACGACACAGGGAAACTGAAAAAACAACAACAGCAGCAAAGGCGCTTTCCCAAGCGTTGACTAAGTGCAGCTGGCATGACCTGCCTCTAAAAGCACACTGGCTGCCGCCCAGATGATATGCTAGCTGCTAGCCAGCATCTACCATGCTGAAACCTCTTGAGCCAAAGGCCAGGAAGCAGAAAATGACGGTCGCATGCAAGGGTTGCTTAACGATCTCAAAACTGCACTCCTTGGGAAACAAATGTGTGAGTAGTCCAACATCAACAGCGTGGCTACAAGATATCACTGCCACCACAGGTCGCCGGTCGAACTGCGTTCGGATTCTCCCTGCATTTTTTTGCAGCTGGGGTGATCTGATGTATCCTTCCCTCGGTCAGACCTACACGAAACACACCGCTGCGGACATCAGCAACCTGACCATCCACCAGTATCTCCGATCCCGGCCATGGCGATTGCACAAGAAAGTCCTTAGACAACCAAACACAAGGGGTACAAAAGAGCGAGCACCTTCCTTACCTCCTGGCGACTCTTGCGTCCCTATTCTTGTGCGCCAGAGACCTAAGACGTGCACCTATCTAGCCTCACTTGATACTATGCAGCACATGTAGCCCTTCTAAGCAGCAACATCAGCAGAGAGGCCGTGCGCACAACTGTAGGACCCATCGCAACGTCGCTCTCCAGCGTAGGAAGTTGTAAACGGAAGTCCTTGGACAGGAGTTTCGCAGAATCAGGCCTTGCTATTTTGTTACTAAGCCGAGAAATGCCGAAGATTCTGATAAACCGCAAGAACCTCGACAAGAAGCTGGCTTGATATTTACAGTAGAGACCTTTGTGCCGTGTCAAAGCCCAAGCAGAATTGCTTGAGCGCTGAGCACCAGCGTCCGTGCTCACCTCTACGCTCTACACCTCCGAGCAATGGTTTCCATTTTGCGATCTGAAAATACACAAGTTTTGGGAGCCTACTTATGATCTTTTGGAAGTTTCCAAAAATTAGGGGTCCCCTAGTGGGGTCCCGATAATAAGGATTGTAACATATTAGGGTCTACATCGGGGTCCCCCTATTTTGGGAAACTTCCTTATGCCTGCTGCACCGGATGACTACATCATGGCATCCCTTCGCAGGTTCACCACCACCAGGTTCCGGCATCACCACGGCCGTTGCTTGGATTCTTCTTGCTGCAGAACTATCAGTAGATACCTGTAACCACCACACTTACCCGCCGATACGCAACCCACGCAACAAACTTTGCTGAAGAGGCCTTTCTGAAACCAAGCACCGCCTGAATTTCTTGCAAGCTGTCACCAATACACCGAAACCCTGGACAGGTCCGTCGTAACCAATTAAACATTTCGCTCAGAACATGTGGGGCCGCCCAACATCGACACCAACATCCTACGTCGTTCTCATAATGCGAACTCCCCAAAAAGAGGCCCTGAGCTTTGGAAACCCTAAAACGCAATCCCTAAACCCAATGTATCACTACATATTCCTAAATACCCCTATATAACCCCTAAAAGCTCCTTGAAGGGCACCCCCTAATGTTTCGAAACCCCAAAAGGGGAAACCATGCTCTTCTGCTTGCTGCCGAGGCACCGTTACCTCCCCTGAGGTCTCTCTGCTGGCTGCCACCATGACTGGCCCCGGAGCCCGGAGGCGAAAAGAAGCAGCCATGCCCACTGGCAAAGAGGGGAAGACCTCCGCAAGACAAGGGAGCATAGGGCGTAGGACTCTTTCAAAGCGCTCACTTACGAGTTTGGGGCTTAGGGTTTGGGGTTTAGGGCTCACGCAACGTGACAGAATGGCAGGCAAAACAGTCAGGCATCGTTCTAGAGAAAAAGGTCCTGACACCCGACCCATGCAACGATTTCAGACTCTGTACTCTGGCATTGAACAGCAACTGCTAGGCAAAAGCACTCTGCCTGCAGCACCCCTGATGACATCTGCAACAACATCTCCGTGGCGAAGGCTGCACCACCCACATTCTCCTGAAATGCTCATTAGAGATCATCAAAGGTGGCACTGCCGCAAAACTCTCATCTCGTGACAGCACATCAAAACTAATGGTGCGCCACCACGACTCCAAGCCAGTGCTGCCACACCCCAGCACCATGCCGTTGCTGTGAAGGCGACATTTAGGGTCAGACCTTAGCCATGCCAAATCCGAGTCGTCTGATGTAGCCGCTCTACATACTGGCGCCGGCACGTATTTGTGAGGTATGCCTCCCAGTCCTGAAGTCGACACCAGGTGCCGGTGCCAAAGAGAACCGCAAGCTTGCACAAAACAAGCTGCTTACTCACCATGTACTTACTAGAACTCCAGAACTGAGAAGCTGGATAGCTTTGGTCAGTCGAGATTCCCTGAGCAAGCCTTCTCTTTCAGCTCTCCATCCAACCCTTGCAGCGGCGGCAAACACGTGCGGGAAGCTGTTCCCCTGTTTGCCACCAGGCCATTGCTTGAAGAATCGGGCCTCGATTCCAGCAAGCCATTGCATAAGTGTCTACGACTGCAACTCAGTGCCGAAGTCTGAAGCGCCACACCAGCGACCGATGCACCAGGTCAACAGCTGCTTTCTCGCTTCGCCTTCGATGCTTTGTAGTTCGATGTTTCAAACTGATGCTTGATATCGTCACCCCTTACATTAACAGTTTGCACTGCTGTCCACGTTGCTGATGCACCGTCCCAAGTGGAAAAGCTGCGAAAAGGCCGCCCCAGGCAACTGATCCGCCTGAACAAGTCAGCAAGAACCCGTCCAAGTTTCTGTTCTCGGCGAGGGGGCCTGCGTGAAGCCGTAAGGCCAAACCGTGCTTGGTCTCTCCGCCATAGAAGTCAGCTATCACTTCCTCTCCATCAATGACCTCCACTGCGTTCCAGCAAATGCTGAGATCAGGAAGATATCCAGGTACCACTGTGCACATGGCTAGCACTCGCCTCTGTGGCATAGGGGGCGATGCGGCCCGCCATCGAACGCCAGCGCTGGCGCGTCTCTGCAGTCTCTGCATTGAGAAGCTCGGCCACCTGTCCCAATCCGCTGCCGCAAACATCGCAAACATGTGAAGCCAAGGAGCTGTGTGAGGACAATAAGAACACACTCTCTGGGCGCTTTTGTGTCTGCTATGCAGCTGCATCCTCCCACTCGCCCGATCCGTGTCACATAGCTAGGTAAGATTGAAAAGGATTCTGCAGCTTCGACAGCAGAATCGCGCTGGACCAACTGCGGCGAAGAGTTGCCTGGAAGAAACCTCCGCCTGCCAACCTGGACATTTTAATTTGAATACTGAAAGAAGACATTTTGACCTTTTGTCCATGATGAGGATACAAGCAAATCCTTCAAAAGTCGGTGGGGCAACTTTCTTAAATACTGAATACCCCGGCGAACTGGCAGGCCGCTGCATGCTGATTGTCTGGGGACCTTACAGATTTTGCCAAGGTCTGTTAGCCACAGCAGGCCCAACCACCCGAAGGGACTTCTGGAGGTAAAGGCCCATTGCGCATCAGGAGACATCAGGCAGAGCATGCCCGTGAAACATTAGAACCGCTGCGCAAGCGCAACCTCCCTCGATCCAAGAGAGCACGCGCTCGCTTGAGCTTTTTGCATGCTCGCATTGTGTACCTGACCATAGCATGGGCTGTGGCCACACAAATATTTGATACTTGCCGGACTGCTGGCCCCGAAGACTTGCCTGTGCGTCTCGCCGAAGAGGACTTGAAGTGTCTGCACAGCTTCTTCCTGAAGGAATGCGGCTCGCGCCAGCATGCGCCTCTGCACGGAAGCATCATACCTGACAGAACGAAAGCATTGTCAGTCTCCCAGACTGACATGAGTACATGACTGTCGAATGCGTCCGAGCAACCGCTTGCCAGAATGGTGTTTGTCCTGCTATGCGCGGTGCATTGTTGCAACCCGTTGAGGCATGGTTCGATTTGAGACGCACGTCTTTTGAGCGCAAGACATTCATGGACTTGTATCTGCGAAGTAGAAGGCGACAGCACTTCTGCATAGTCCAGGCACGAGTGGCGTTCCTCGCATCTATGAATTTCAGAACACATGGATGCCAAACAAGCCAGGCGCAGTTGGAGCAATCAACTAATAGCTGGCAATTCAAGATTCGGCCAGGGAAACATCTGTTGCTGACAACCTTAGCATCTGAGAGGAAGTTCACTTGAGAATTCACAGAACACTCACAAACCCTTTGTCAGGCTAACCTCTGCCAAGGCGCTCAGACGCCGCTGCATCCATGCAAGTGCTTGGTCTACTTGGCCTTTGGAGTCATACCACGGAACCATGTAGGAGCCCAGGCGTTCGCATAGCCAGTGCTGTGGCCCCAGCGCACCACAGGCCTCAAGGATAACAGGGTGCAGACGTGCTTGGGAAATGCAATTTCCATGCCTGGTCACCCACGATCTCTTCAAACTGCCTTTGCGCCAAATTCTGTACCCTACTGCATAGCTCCGAGAGATCCAACGAGTGTCTGGCCTGGCTTCCGCCTCGGTCAGAAGCTCCTCAACTGGCTTGGTGCTGCAGTCCTCCCAGCGCATTGCGCAAGTCAGATCAGCACGCATTGCCAAAATGTGAGGGTCGCCTGGTCCAACAACTGCAGCCGCATTCGGATTTGTTTCTCCGTTTCCTTGGGTGCAAGGAGCATGAGGAGACAGCATGACCGCGCATCTGTGACAAATGACATCGTGGCAAGACTCCAGCAAGCCAGCGGCATGCTCCCCCAGGGCGTGCGCACATGAAGGGCAGGGCAGCCGGGCAAGGTCCTCACAGCTCTGCAGACACACAGATACAGCAACAGCCGCGCATTGCTTAATGATGCTTGATGCAAGTTCTTGGTTGTCATCTGCTTCCAAAAATTATGGGAAATCTTTCAATCGAAAATTCTCAGAAAATTTTATTAAAGCCAGGTTCCAAAAAATCCGGAAAGCTACGCGAGACAGTAAATTTTTGAGGGAAATTTAGGGGCTCGGGCCAACCCTAAGCAAAGCATTAATATCCCGCTGCAACCAGGCTCAATAACCAAGTTCAGGCCAGGTCATATTGCCCAGAACCCTTCCAGCATCAATGAAGAAAAAAATTGGGAAATATTAAGACCAGACAGATTATTCCCCAATAGCCACCAGGT